GGCCTGGAGGGTGGTGAGGGTTCGAATCTCCACGGGGAGTTCGTTCCAGAGGGTCGGAGCAGCCACAGAGAAGGCCCTCCTCCGGGTAGTCGGCACTGGCCGGCGGATGGAATTCGGAGGAGGCCCAATCTGTGGGATCTAATCGGTCTCTTGGAGGTAATTGGAGGAAGGGGAGAGGCCTGTGAGTATCAGTGAAGGATAGCTTGATTTGAAGCTACAGACGCTGGGTGCTAGGTCCTGCTCTTAGCACCATCTCAGACAATTTGGGGTATCGTAAAAGAGAAAGAAATTATGACCGGTCTCTCGGAATCTGCTACCGGAATGACAGTGAAATATCCCATATTTAGCTGGCAGTGGAGTGGGACGCGTAGGGAAATGTTGCAGCCACCTACTCAGTAGCGGATCAGGGAAATATTAAAAGAAAGGAGCATCTGTGCGAGGTAGGGAGAAACGCTCATCCTTGTCACCCCAAACCGGTTGGGAAGCAACGATCCCCCGGCTGCCATAGTGACGGTGGAGGATATAGAAGGCGTGCGGTGCTTCTATATCTCGGAGCATGTACAAATATAGGAGTGGGTGTGATTGACTGAAGACTGGAGATAGGTATGGTAATGCACACTTGAGAGCGAGGATGGATTGGTCTAGAGAAAGTGTTCTCCACAATCGGACGAGAAGGAGAAACTTCCTAACAGGGAGGACGATTGACCAGTGGAACAGCTTGCCACCAGACGTTGTGGGTGCTCCATCACTGGAGGCGTTTAAGAAGAGACTGGACAGTCACTTGTCTGAGATGGCACAGTGTCTCCTGCTGGGGCAGGGGGTTGGACTAGAAGACCTCCAAGGTCCCTTCCAGCTTTCTTCTGATTGAAGTGCAAAGTCACTGGCAGTCACTCTAAGTCAGGGATGCCGAACGTTTTTCTGCTTGGGTGCCAAAAAGGCGCACGTGCGTGCCCTCACCCATAATGCAATGCCCTTCCCCCCCCTGCACATGGGCACACAATTCCCCCACATGCGCGCAGGCCTCACTGAAGCCTCCGAACTTCTGGTAGGCCCATTGGGCCCGTTTTCCGCCATCCACAGGCTCTGGAGGCTTTCCTGAAGCCTGGGGAGGGCGAAAATGGCCTCCCCCCGCCCTCCAGAAGGACAAAATTCAGCTGGCCAGTGCACACATGCACACTGGAGCTGACATAGGGCAACACCTCGCATGCTCTCAGCTATGGCTCCACATGGCACGCATGCCATCCTTTCACAGGTAGTCCTTTACTTACAATCTTTGCAGCCTCCCTGTGGTTGTGTGATCAAAACTGAGACACTTGCCAACCGGCTGGTATTTATGACGGTTGGGGCTTCCCAGGGTCATGCGACCCCCTTTTGCATCCTTCTGACAAGCAAGACTCAATGGGGAAGCCGGATTCGCTTAACAACCATGTGACCAACTTAACAACTGCAAGGATTCACTTTGCACTTATTGGCAAGAAAGGGCGTAAAATGGAGCAAAACTCACTTAACAACTGTTTTGCTTCGGAGCAGAGATTCTGGGTTTCGGCTGTGGGGCGTAAGTCGAGGGCTCCCTGTATGTCTTGGTGGGTGGTGTGAACTCAGCCATCGGGGTTTATGAAGCTGGGATCTCCGGCGTGCTTCTCCTGGCGCCATTCCTTGTCCAGCGAGTTTTACAAGTCTGTTTGAAACAATTAAAAAAAAAAAAACCTCGCACATACCGCCCGTCAGAGCTGCAAGGAGGCGTCCGTCCATGGTCGGCCATGATTAAAGCCCCACTGAAACGAAACCTCCATAATCGGCTCTTCAAGCCACCCTAATTCTAGGAAATAACACACTTTTGATGCTCTGGGCCCTGCCGCAGAGTTTGTTCGCTGCAGCCGTTCTGCGAAGCCTGATTCAAACTTTTAATTACCTCCTCAGTGCAGCCTGTAATCATTAACCCACTAAGCCTGTTTGCACTGGCACCGAGTTGGCGATCAACAAGCTTGTGCTCAATCCAGAAAAGACCGAGTGGCTGCTGTGTTTCCCTCCCGCGAATTGGCCAAGTGTTCCATC